TGAAAGAGACAGAGAAGACATCATTTGCAAGTCCCAAACCTTCTACCTCAAATAGAGCCTCTTCACATTCCTTATTCCACATTACTAGTTACTTCCCCACTGTTTGTGACCAGGGACCCATTTAGGACACTTGGGGCTGAAGTAACTATCAACAACCCTTGAGTTCAATAGCTCGATGATCGGTGTAAACTTTACACATCTCGGTGTCTTATACTGATTAATCGATGCTCCCATGCTGATTGCGTAATCCATGAGCTTATCAAATGTTCCTGGCTCAACAATCTTGATCTCGAGCGGACCTATGGACTTGTCACTAACCCTTCCTTGTCTATAAACAGTGTTGAGTGACTCTTCTACGGTTAAGCAGCAATCCTCAAAGACCGAAGGAGGGATCAGCGTGTTTCCATCCAAACATAGCTCCCAGAACAGAACATAATGACCCGGGATAGAACTTGTGTCCGCATAGCTCGTGTATTCGGAGAGTGAAGCATCAAACGGGACGAGGTGTGTCACTGCATTCTTTACCGCGTTCTGAAGCTCAACCTCGTCAGTCTTGTCAGAATCTATGCTCAAGACCACATTCTTGCGACATATGAAACTGAATTGAGGTGCCTTGTTCTTGAATCCAGTCACTCTCAACAAATCACCAACTCTGTATCTGCAAAGCCCTGCAACAAAATCACAAAGCACACAACAAATTGATTAGACCCCTGAAGTTTTAATATTTTTACTATAAATCTATCAAAGACTTTCGCTTTTTTCCTTACCGGCATAAGTGGTGACGACAAGCTCGTACTCCTGACCAAGCTTGACATCAACTAGATCAACAAGCTCTTGTTGCTCTTTTTCAGTAAGTGCTTTGGGACGGTTGATAGAGTTAGTAACACCGGTTTTTCTATGAACAGGCAAGAACTCGAAATAAGCCATGGTTGGTATGAGCGTGTAAGAGACCTCGCTGGGTTTACAGAGTGGCCTTAGGTTCACACCAAAGTAACACTCGGAAGAAGCATACATTGTGCAGACAAGAGGCAAGCCATTGCTGTAGTAATCCAAAGTTGGAATGTATTGAGACATTGTCCCAGTCACAATCACATCCACATACTTTGTGTTAGGCCATAATCTAGTGATAATCCCTTGCCAAGACGAATTCTTGCACTCAAATTCCACGAAATCCGCGAGCTTTGGGTTCGGTTTAAGGATCTTGGCGACCGCCTCCCGCACTGAAGGATCGGTTATGAGTGAACTTAGAGTACCGGTTCTGATGTCACGGACCAACTCGGTCCAGTGTTTCTCAAGAAACTTGATGGCTCTGATGAATCCAGAGGCGAAGACGGCGCCAACTCGAAGAACCTCCTGGTGTTGACATAAGCCACATAGCATCTGAGAGTACATGCTCTGGTACGAGTCAGGGCAAAGGATGGCCTCGTTGGGGCTTGTGTAATTGGTGTAAGGGTCAAAGGGTCTTTCTTTGAAATGAGAAGATTTGTAGTAACTGGTTAAGACAGGACGAGCAGGGAGGCCTCCTGGTGTCTTGGATTCGGACTTGATGAACAAGAAATACATTCCTTTGCCTTTGTCGAGACCAGGAACAAACTGACTCATCACAGGCATCAAGAGACTGTAGAGAAGTGATCTCCTGTCTAGCTCCTCTTCGATCGTTGGCATTAACTTCCTCTCCCCACCAGATGTCCCAGAGCTGCCAAACAACAGAAAAAAAAAATCCTTGTTAGGCTTGAACAATTCATGAAATGTTGTTGAATTAAAGCTTCGATCTTTTGGGTTTACTAATAAATGATTTTGAACAAAAAACCGAGACCCACAAGAAAAACTACTCAAGGATCTTCCAATCTTAATCTCAAACAGAATGATCAACTATGACTATGACAAAAGTTAAAACGAGATATAAAAATTGAGTAAAAAAGAGAGACAAAAACAAAAACAGAGCATCGAGCAAAAAGGACATGGACAAAAACAGAGCATCG